ACTACACACAAGCTATATAGAGTTACATTACTCACAATATAGTGGATTAAAAAAATAGTTTCCATCTTCTCTTAAGATAAAGATTTGGTTTATGATTTCTTAATTATGTCAAAGTGAATTAGGAATCTGACCTGACAGAAGAAACCAGGTACTAAATGTATTCTAGGACCAAACCACCTAAGGAAAAGTACTTGGTGCTCTTTATTAGGAAAAATCCTGAAAGTCACAAGAGATAAACATTTGTCCTATGGCCACAAATACAGGGAATTCTGTAGGTGCACATTTGCAGGGCAGCTGTTTCTATGGTAATGCCGTTTTCCTGGCATGCTATGCTCTCTCACCCTCCTCTGTAGACTTGGAGCTGCCTACACCCGTGAACTCTGCTGGAGTAGGAGGAGTGCATTTCCTTTTGCCAATAGTGTTGGGATTGACCATGTAATTTGCTGTAGCCAATGGAATACGCATCTACCACAGTGCTTGACACATAGTAAGTGTTTATATTTGCAAATGAAATGACTTCATGAATTTTGAGAGAAAATCTAAATCAGTACTGTACTGCTAGACTCTTTTGATCTATATGCCATTTGTCTGTTTGCTTTTTGATTCCTTCCTCTGTTCTGTATCACTGGAAGGACTGGCCCTTGCAAACTCTATTCCCTAGGCTTCCCTGTCTGTCTTTCCCAGGTACATTCAGCCTCTAAGAGGCACTGGCATTGAAAGAAAGGAGAAGCCAGTGTATTTCTCCCCCTTTCTCCTCTTGGGAGGAGGCGATGCATCTCTAGCACGGGCTGCTTCTCTTCTGCGTTCTAGCTCCCACCAGACAGCCCTTCCTCCATGGCCCCAAATCCTGCTTTCCTAGCCTGCAGAGGCTCCCACTCCTACCAAGTGGCCCGTGTTCTGGGCTCCAGTGAGGTCACATCCTTCCTTTGTCCTTCTGTTCCCTAGGGGTGTAACAGCTGCCTGCAGTTACTGACCTCTGGGTCTCCTGATCTTCCCCTATTTGCTGTTTCAGCTTTTCTAATCCCTGTGTATTACTTCCTGTCTTAAGGTCCTTCTAGTGGTTTCATTTTGCTGGCTGGCCCCTGATGGATAACCTATTTCAGGAGCCATGTACAAAACCATGGTTTATTCTAAACACTGGTTCCTAAAGGAGATTTGTCTTCCTCCTTAATTCTTTGAGAGCATTTCTGAGAAATTATCTTCCCTGTGGCCTTCTTTTCTTTTCCTGTGGTAATAGCATTTTCTACTACTTAAGATTATATCTAGAACATTATCAGCTATCATAAGCCTAAGTCTGCCCAATGTTGTAAAGATGTCAGCTGTTCCCAAATTCATCTATAGATTTGATGCAATTCCTATCAGAAGCCTAACATATTTTTTTTCATGGAAACTAACAACTGATTCTAAAATTTATGTGAAAATGCAAAGGGCCAAGAATGACCAATATTCTCCTGAAGAAAAACAAGGTGGGAAGACATTTTCCACTAGATATCAAGACACTAAAAAGCTATGGTGATAGAGCAAGTGTGGTGCTGATCCAAGCATAAACAAATAGACTAATGAAATAGGATGGATCAATATCCTGGAAGAGTCCAGAAGCAGACCCAGGCACGTATGGACTCTAGATTTTCTTTCAAAGTGACACTATAGAGCAAGTGGGAAAGGATGGTCACTTCAATAAAAAAATTCCCAGATCAGTTAAGTGGCAATATGGTAAAACATGTGACCGTACCTTATCTCATACCATGTTTATTCTAAGCCATGTTTCCTAAGGAAAATATTGGTTTTCCTCAGTCATCCTGCTTTGAGAGAATTCCTCAGAAATGCTCCTCCCAAAGGCCTTCTTTCTTTCTGGTACATGGAGATCTAAATGTGAAAGGCAAAGTAATAAAAACTTTATAAAATAATGCAAAAAAAGAAAGGTATGACTGAACATAGGAACTGGCTGTGAGCCAATTGGCCATAATGAGAAGACTTTTCTTGAGGAGTAATAAACTCACCCCAAGCCCAGTCTGAGAAGCTGCAAGATGACATGAACATTTTTAATCCTGTGTTTTTCAAGGGAGCAAGAGGAGAGGGAAATTGCTGGAAAATTGGAATGCAGATGCTCCTGGAAAGTGGCGATTTCAAAGTACTATTGGCAATCAGTGCATTTCCAAGAGCAGATGGAAACCTTACATGATTTCAACAGTACAGGAGGAACTTGTCCCAGATCAGTACCCAAGGAAGGGTCCTCACTAACACCTTCTTTTTCTGTACCCAATGCTTTCCAGGGGTTTTAGACAGAATCTTTTGTGCCAAGAACATTTTTTCTGTTTGTGTAAAATGATATCAGATTTAGGAAAAATGCAAAAATAGTGTTAAAAATTCCCATATACTTTTCACCCCAATTTCCCAAATGTGAACATGTTGCTCTGCTTGCCTTAGTATTAGCTCTTTTCCTCTTTTATATTTTTTCTAAAACATTTGAGAGTAAATTGGATATACAGCACTCTTTTACCTCTAGATACGTCAATGTGTATTTCCTAAAAACAAGGACATTCTCTTACATAATCACAGTACAATTCTCAACATCAGGAAATTAACATTGATACAATATCTACTATGTACTCTACAGATCTTACTCAAATTTTACCAATTGTCCCATTAATGTTCTTTTAAGACTCTTCTTTTAAATACTCTCTGGCTGTGATCTTGATAAAGTAATTCTCAGCCTTTTCAGGAAGACGCAGCCATCACTCAGCATAGGCAAAAAGAATTTGAGCCTGAATGATTTTCAGAAGAAGGTCAGAGAAACCTCCTTCTAGCTCTGCAGGCAGACATCTGCTCTCCCAGAAAGAGACCCCAAACGAAGGCTCACTCTATTCCCAAAGCCTGTGTTATCAGAGAAGATTCTGGATTGTTTCTCTTCAATGCAGGGCACTTGCCTGCTGCTTCTTCCTTAGACTAGAGAACCCACATCAAAAATATCCTGGAAGACGTTTTCATCCTTCTCTTGCACATAGTAAGAAACTACTTTCCTATTTCAATTTTAAAGCAAGAAAGGATGCACAGTACCTAGGGAATATACTAGACCCTACAAGGTTATTCTAATACTCACCCCTGACAGTAGGGCTCTGTTGTAAAGGAATAATTAAAGGCCAAGGGGTAACAACCTAAAAAATTGCCCATCAAAAAGAGGACTGGTTAAATAAATTTTAGTTAATACAGTCAAGGTAATATAGTGCAGCCATTCAAAAGAAGATGCAGCTGTATATGTTCCAACATAAATTAAGCCCAAACAACAGAAAGTGGTTAAGTTTTCTGGGCTCTGCAGAGGGCATTTGGGCAACTTGGGGAGATAGAGGTGGAAGAGAGACATTTATAGTAAACCCTTTTGTACCATTTGATTTTTAAAATTTTTACCATGTGTATATGTTATGTGTTCATATCACATGTGAGAGAGAGTCACAAAAGTACATAGGTAGATGGATATGTGACTGATAGATAGATAGGATGAGTAGGGATATAGATTTAAAACCGAAAGTTTGAAGGAATAGCAGGTTCCATATTGTCCAGCTGCACCTTTTATTTTTAAAGCCATCATTTTCTTTTCCATTTTTGCCCACCGTTTATTCCTCTCTAGGTAGTAGGAGTCTTACCCTCCGCTGGGTAGTGGAGACAAAAAAACAGACTTAGTCGTAGACACATTCTCAACAGAACCGCACACCAAACACAGACTCAAACACACGTTTTTAGATTTGGAGGTGTGGCAGGGAAGGGAGGTGAGGAGCAAGCTTGGGCAGTCTAAGCGGGACCTCCTGCCTCTCCCCGGGTCTCAGATTTGCCCTGCCTCGCCTCACCCTTCTATTCTTTCGTCCGTCTTACTCCCCACCCCCGCTGCAGACCCAGAGCACCCCGGCGAAAGGACTGGCGTAAATTTCTCCTTACTTGCGCCGTCGGCCTCGGGGCCGCTTCGTGACGTCAGGGCTGAGCGAGGGGGTGCCGCCTCCTGGGTGCCCGCCCCTCCCAGCCCTGCGGCCCCGGCTTGCCCTTTAAAAGAGCGGGGCCTGCGCCAACCGCGCCACACCGCGGGGACCAGGACGCAAAGCTGCTTCCTCGGAGCATCTTCATCTCGCCTTCCGTCCGCATCTCACTCACCGGTCCAGCCGCCATCCTCTTCTCCGCGCAGATTCGGGCGAGCCGGGCCATGCAGCCGGCGGTGTTTCTCGGCCTCCTGGGTGCGGCGGTGGTGGCCGGTGAGTGGGTGCGGCGGGCCGTTCAGCACCGCGGACAGCGCTAGCCTCGGTCTTCACAGCCGCTCTGGGCACATAGGCTGGCGGATACTGGGAGAGAGGGGGTAGGGTCCAAGGTTTCTCCCTCTTGCTTGACGTTCTTAATTTCTTCTCTTCCCTGGGTGTTTCCCTTCAACTCCCCGCCCCATCGTCTCACTTGGAGAAAGCCAGAGGGCTTCCTAGCCCAACCAGAAGAGTCTCAGTCTTTTCATATCTGAGTTTTCCTGTAGATAAAAAGAGAAGGTGCCCGCGCCTCCAGGGAAACCCCACATTTTGTGCTCACTTCTAAAATACCATGCTCTTTCTACTTGTCTAGACGCTGTTATAGTCTTATTCTGCATCTGTATTTAAATATTTGTTAGGCTTTTTAAAGCCAGATGACCACAGAGAGACAGGAGTACCTGTATTATGACATTAGTTGGCACCTGCATAATTTTCTTTCTTATTGTTGTTATTTAAATTCAATGAGATGAAAGTAAGCCTGGTATGTATATGATATCTTATATCTTTTTTCTTAACATGTTCATTTATAATATATGTGTATGTGTGTTCATGTATATGCATGTACAGGTTTAGTGTAATATTTTTCTATATTTTGTATTTCTGTCTCTGGGGAGAGGTAATTTCACGCTCAGATGAATCCATTTTTAAGTTATGAATGGAAACTGCAGTAGACATTTTGACTTTTATACTCTAGAAAAATGACAAGTAGAAAATAACCACAAAAATGTTCTTGGAGTAGTAAAAAAAAAAAAGTCATTTTAGTCAATTTGGGAGGATGAAATTTTAGGTAGTAGATATTTGACAATGTCTCTTCATGTGTGGGAGATTGGGGGACTAGTCTTTCAAACTACTCTGGATCTCGAAGAAATGATCTCTGGGGATTTGAAAAAATGGGTGTGTGTGTCTGTGTGTGTGTGAGTGTGTGTGTTGAAGTCAAGTCACTCAGAGTATTGAGACCATTGAGAAGTAAATATGGCACCACCAGATTAAACTGGAGGTTTTCTTTGGCTGTTTAATGACCTCATAGAATATTATTCTTATCTGAGATTGAGATTCCTAACTAGAATCGAGGTATTGCCACTCGTGAATATGAAGCTTTCACTGACAGCAATTACTGGATCCCAAAAGTAAAGAGAGAATATGAAAGCCAGTGGTAATTCGTTTTATTGCAAGCTACATACTTTCAGAATTTTCTAAAATTCTTGACGCTGTTACAAATTGCCTATACATGTTCTCAATTTAATTAAAAGAAAACCAAATGAATATTTAGAGTCCTTTCTGGTCAAAAATATTTTCAGAAAGGAGTTGCCTAAAACGCTAAAGCTAGGCTATACATTGTGCTATACTCTATAAAAACAGCGTCATTTGTGAGATCTATTTAACTATAGTGGTAAGATACTTACAGCTCTCTTATGCAAGAGAATATTTTAAGAAGGGTTTATATTTTAATATCAAATATTAAATATCAATATCAAATAAATATTAATATCAAATATTAAAAGGGAGACAGTATTCTTTTTAAAAAATTTTTGTCGAGCTATAATTCACACACCATAAAATCTGTCCTTTTAAAGTGCATGATTCAGTGATTTTTAGTATATTCACAGACTGAATAACCGTTATCAAATTTCAGAACATTTTCCTCACCCCAGAAAGAAACCCCCTACCCATTAGCAGTCCCCATTCCCACCTCCTCCCAATGTCTGGAAATGAGATAAGGTAGCATTCTAGCAGAGTTTGTTATTTAACAAAGAATCACAGGGCTGGGGGAAATCTCAGGAAACTATTTGGTTCATTTCCTACCCTTAAGAGCTTCTGAAGGAAGATCCACACCTTTCCACAGTAGCTGCTGTGCACTGTAAAAATTAACATGCGTGAATTAGCTACATGATATCCATATCATACTATGTAAGATGGTTTCTGCATTCAGAAGAGCTTGCTGAACTTTTTTATAGCTGTATTTTCTAGCTGGGATCAAACTTTGATAGTCTTATGAAATATTAATACTTTGGAAGTTATCCTCAGATTTATCATACAATATTATTTAAAATTTTTTTCTACTACTTGACTGCTTCACTTTTATCATTATCATTGGGTTTTCTTTTGTGCCCCCTGAATCTTACTTTATACAAAAATAAGTTAAACTACTTTAGGGAAATCACCATGTCTCTGGTTATTACCTTTGCTGTCACAGAGTCTATTGGAAGAAATACAATGAAACTGAGACGTCTCACCAAGACGTGTAATGTTCTTTCATATGGAGCCCTTAGTTCCTTTCTGTCAAAAAGATCACTGAAGAGCCTCAGTCAGAAAAACAGGACTGTTCTGTAAAAACAAATATAAGCTAAAAATTGTTTAGAGTAATAAAAGGAAGATATTTCTCTCTCTCCAAATCTGATGACTGGTAATACTTTGGCAATATCAATAGTTAATAAAAGCACCTATTTTACATTTGTGACAAAGAAAAGTTATTAGCAAGAAACTGCATTACCAAAGAAGATTTAGTAAAGCTAGATGTTAAAAAGACACCTTCTAGTTTATTAGAGGAGTAATTCTCTCAGTTGTTTATTTCCAGAGGATTTCACAGATTTCAGGTGGAAAGAGTAAGTGTGAAAGTGGGAATGTTTCCAAGTAACAGCCATTTGGAGGATAAAATAATGGCCCAGCATATTGGACCTGGGTGCAAAGGTAGGCCACCCGGATCTTATGTGAACTATATTTCAGGAAGATCATGGGGTCTTCATACCTCTTTGGCCACTTCTCAAACCTCTTACAAGTGATTTTAACACGCTGGATAACTTTGGGCCTCTTGAAACAATTACAGTAGATCCCAGGCCTGCTTTGAAAAGAAAGATTCATTAAGGTGAGTAAATGAAATGTGTTTTATTTCTAGATGGAGCCCTATGATATGTAATTGATGGAGGGATGTAAAGAGACTTAGAGAGCAAGCATTGTGGGAGGAGAGGTCAGGTTGCTGGTTATAAATAAACTGCATGTCAGTAGCTTCCATAGCTGATGTCTGAAAGTTTTGCTCTTGCTCCAGCTAGCTCTTCTCTTCTCTCAGGGACCTAGAATTTTTGCCCAGAGCTTCTCCAGCCATAATAGCAGTTATCTACTCCAAGGAATGCAGGAGAATTGTGGACATGTGCCTATATGTAAACGCTGTGAGCTTCCCCAATGGAAAGGGCTTAGACAGAACAAAGCCAAAGATAAAAGAATCTAAGCAGCTTTGAAAGAGAAAAAAAAAAGTGGCACTTTAATGGAAATTAAAATCACCTGAAGCATTTCCTTAAGACGACAAAGGCACTTCAATTGCTGGTTTAAAATAAGCAGAATCTCATGAAATCTAATTTAAATAAATTAAAATTTTAAATTTTAAAATATCCTCATAAACCAGTTGTTAAACAGCTATTTGCATATGTTATTATGGACTTGATGCTGTACTAATAGAATTATATACCTCCCATGTTCTTTACATGGCTGCATAAACGTGGGAGAAGGGAAACACATCACTGATACAGATGCATAAGCAACCTGTTCAGGCAAAGGCCTGGGGGCAAAAACAAGGTAATTAATTATGTAAGATAGTCACAACCATGTCTTTGTAAAGGAAGTGAGTTTTGGAGAGGACATTTTCTTGGGGACAGGAAGAGGCAGAGAGGACTACAGTTCTTTACCCATTGGGGGTAGGCAGAAGAGTTGAGAGGGTACTCTGGTTTCATTTAAACTAGGTTTGTTTTAATTTTTTATTGAAGTACAATATTCACATAGAAAACTTCACAGATCATAAGTTTACAGTTTAATGTATTTTTCACTCATTGAGAGCGCCTGTGTAATTAACACCCAGACGCTCCCCTTGTCTGTGATCTGGATTTGATTTATATTGGATATAAGAAAGCATTCATTTCCAAATCATGTTTAAGACATTGCTAAGGAAAACTACTGTGTGTGTGTGTGTGTGTGTGTGTGTGTGTATACAGGCAGCTGAGGCAATTATGGCCCCTGGGGCAATCATCCCCAACTATTTCCATTCTGCTCAGCGCCAACTCTCCCCCTCCCTCCAAGTAATGTGTGGGGAGTGGGGGTGATTTGTGAGTTTGGGTTCACACAGCTTCCAAAAATCAACTCAAGTCATTTCCCATTCTTTTTCTCCTTCAAAGTTGTCAGTTCTATGCCAGCGGATAACAGGAACCGCAATGAAGAAATGGTAAGTTGAAATGGAAGTCTAGAATCTAGATTTACATCTAGACTCTAGATTCTCCCACTCCTTGTCATACCAAACCAAACAAAATAAAAAACAAAAACAAACAAACAGCAACAATAAAAACACAATGCAGTCCTACAAAGCCAGGTTTTCATCCCTGAAGGAATAGGGGCAAGGGATGCCCTCCTGCCCTGGGCTCTCATCTCCTTCACGGATGTTTTAGTGTCCCGAGGATAGCTGTGTCATCACACCATTCTCCTTCCAACCTGTTCAGAAATGGGTGCTTATTTCTCTTCTCTGGGTAATCTTGACCCAATGCTTTCTTGCACTGCTCTGTGGAGAGGCCTGGGAGGTTTCATTATGGTCCTGTAAATCTACATTCCTGCCCAAGGCTGCTGCATCAGTACAGGGCACATACCAAGCCTCTCTCAACAGTGGCTCTGCTCTGGGTTGAGTAGTCTGTTATCCCAATGACACCAGCTTTTGCCAACTTGCTTTCTGGTTTCCCCCTAGGTGACTCATTGCATCATTGAGGTCCTCTCAAATGCCCTGTCGAAGTCCAATGCTCCACCCATCACCCCTGAGTGCCGAGAAGTCCTGAAGAAGAGTAAGTGTCCTGCACTACAGGAGAACTTTGTTCCTTGACTAGTCCTTCCTCCTGCTCCCTCCACTTGACCTTCCACTTCACCTCCAAATGAACACGGGTGCATAATGCAGTGGGAACAGCACAGACTAGTATCTAGGGAAATAGAACACATGGTTCTAGTTCTTCTTCTGCCATTTAATAGCTGTGTGACCATGGGGAAAGATCCCTTGCCTCTCTGGGCTTATTTCCTCAAACTAAAATGAGGGAGTTCAACTCAATCAGAGTCTTTGAGATGTCTATCAGTTCTCAAATTCCTTGGTTCCAGAGTTTGGATTTTTGGAACAGGCTTTCATTTGGGTGGAAGGAGGTGGAAGGAAGGGGAGTGCTTGTCTATGATTAGATGTGGGGGTTGGGGGTAAGGGGGGTTGAGTGTTCTGGGAGTGTTGGAAGATAAAAGGAGAGAAGGAGTTTTTAAAAGTATTCTTCTCTTTGCCCTCTACTCTTCAGACAGTGAGAAGTTAGAAGCTTGGAAAGGTGACTTGGAAACTTCTAGCCTCTTTACATGACAGACTGTTTAAACCATTTTTGCGCAGAGCTTATTGGATTGGGAGGTACTGCCAAATGGTACCGGGAGTTGCGGACCTGAGAACTGGCAGGGGTGAGGGCAGAAGTAGAGCATCCAATGAGTCAGAGCGATGACCTTCTGCATCTAGATTGGGATGTTTCCTCTTTACCAAACAGCTTCTGTTGAAAACGAAATTTGAACAGTAACATGAGCAGTATCCACTGGGAGTTGACATTAAGAGATCAATTTTACAAAACTATGCAGTCTCTTTTATGCATGAATCAAACTGATTCAAACAAATCCAAAAACACTGTTCTCTTAACACTTTTCTCTATTTTTAAATTTTTAGTCAGATTGAGAATAGTGGATATTTTTTCTTTTCACCTTCAAAATCTTTCATTGCAAGATAATACTTCCTTGATATTGCTGCACGTGAGCCCTCATGCATAAAATGGTAAAAACAAGTATGAACAATTGGCCAAAAAAGTAACCTGGGGGGACTCAATCTACCATTGGGGGCTTCCGGGTAACCACAGTTGGTGAGGGGGCCTGAGCCTGTAGGGGCCCGATGAACAGTGGAAGGAAGCCTCCCTTTCACTCCAAGGCTTCATACCTCTTTCTGAATTTCTCCCCAGCTTTCTCTTCCTGCCATTATAAGGAATGAGTGAGAGCAGAGTGGGCTCCAGGCTGCAACTAAAAGCTGCTCCTTTGGGCAAACCCATCTCACTATTGCCCTTCCCTTTTCTTTGTTTGCCAGATGGATGCAAAAGTGTGGGGTCTGTCATACTAGGTCATCAAGGAACCATGATTGCTTAGGCAAAGCTGTGGAAAGTAGAGCTCTGCTTGCTTGCCGAAGTCAGACTCATAGCCCTTAGGCTATGGCCATAGGATTCCAGCCTCTGCTCATCATTGATTGTGCCCTGGGGTCTTTTGAGGTCTGTTGAGAAGCCCCAGGGAAAGTGATAACAGTCGAATGATCCCTGTCTATCAGGACTCTGCAGACATGATCCCCGGATACATTATCCCCAGATAACCCCTTACAATGCTAAGAGTGAGAGGGTTTAAGAGCTCCTCTGAGGTTGCAGACCCAAATGCCACCCAGGGCCAGACTGACAGGTAACATAAAGGAGTAAGGCAGGGCAAGAAGTGACACAAAATGGAGGACACATGCCCCTTCTAAGGAGGAGTAGATATTTCTCAGCTACAACACTATTGTGGAGAAATACAGACTCTGTTACCAGATTTGGGATTTTTCAAGACGTTAAAAGTGGACTTGAGGCAATATCTCCTGGTATTTAAGTATTGCCTCTGAATTCAAATTTACTAAAAATGGCATTTAGGCCAAACAGAATTCACCTTTGGGCTACAAGTTTGTGACTTCTATCCTATTCTGGTTTTCTCTCTTCTGCTGGTTTGTCTTAAAGTGAACCAAAGACTGGTGGAGCTTTCGGCCAATTGGATGGATGGATTCTTTCAGGCACCCTCCCTCCCACCCGTAGCTGTTCTCCATCTCTACTCCCACTCTCTCCCGCACATCTCTGGAGCAGCATACACTTATTGAGCAAAGGAAGATTTGGGGAGTCAGGAAGAATCATTGTTTTCTGGCTTGAAGAGATCTTAGGGAATACGTAGTCCAATTTCTTAACATGTATAAGAATCTCTTTGACTGCGGTTGATCTGGTCGTCCTTGCAACGTGACAGTTAGGGATGGAAGGTGCCTTTTCCTCTTTTTACTTGAAAGTAAGGGTGAGATTCACACCTTGGTTTTACAGATTGATAATGGTCTTGTGCTGCTAACCACAGCCCTCCTCTGATCTCACCTGCGGGGGCAGAAAGCTAAATTTAGGAGGAAGTGCTAAGCCCCAGGCAAGCTGCTACAGGCAGCACACAATTAACTGGGAAAAAATTAAAATACTTCTATTTGTGACCAGCAGGTAGTAGGAAAGAGGCCATAGCCTCTGCCCCAGGAAGCTGAGATCCTGTCTGATGGCTGGCGCTATTTCTGCCGACTCAGAGTGACGTCAGTATCTGCCCAAGCCTCCCTGCCCCTCTGGGCCCACCTGGCCAGCCCCGGTCTGTGCTGCACACATGGCCACGGGCTCCTAAAAGGCAAAGGCCTGGGGGAGGGGCCAGCCCGCAGAGGTCTGAGTGTGACAGGTCAGGGACATTTCAGTTGCCTCATAAGACATGAGAATGTTATCATGCCAGGCTGGGCTTTAAGCAAAGAGGTACAGACTGTCCACTATTTCTTGGACATTTTTACAAAACAGACCAATTTTTTCTATTTTGCAAACGTCAGTTCGAAATCACTCATCAGAGCTGTTTAATAGAAATATAATGTGAACCACAAATATAGTTTCAAATTTTCTAGTAGCCATATTAAAAAAGTAAAAAGAGACAAGTAAAAGTAGAAAGAGACAGTAAAAGAGCCAGCCCTGTTGGCCTAGTGGTTAAGTCCGGCGCGTTGCGCTTTGGTGGCCAGGTTTGGTTCTCCGGCACAGACCTACACTGCTGGTCAGTGGCCATGTGTGGCAGTGGCCCAAATACGAAATAGAGGAGGATTTGCAACAGATGTGAGCTCAGGGCAAATCTTCCTCAGTGGAAAAAAAAAAAAAGAGAGAGGTAAAATGAACTTTAATAATATATTTAATTTTATCCAATATATTTAATTCAATATATAATTTGTATACATGCAATATATTTAGAATATATATGATACAATGCATCTAAAATAGTATCATTTCAACATGCATAATAGGAAAATTTGAGATATTTTACATTCTTTTTTTCATATGAAGCCTTTGAAATCTGGTAGGTATCTTATATCTGTAGCATGTCTCAGTTCAGGCCAGCCATGTTTCAAGTGCTCCACGGCCTCAAAGGGCTGGTGGCTCCCACAGTGGACAGCGCAGACGTGGAGCACAGCTGGCCGCGCCTGAGCTGCGAGCGGCCTCGGCTTCAGGCCTTCTGTCTGATCTTGGTGACACGAGTTGAAATCCGATCCCTCCCAGCTAACAGTCAGACAGCGTTAACAGCATATCTCCTTTCATGGGATGCCCTTGCGTTAAGGAGGATTTAGTAAAGGAGCTACTGACATTTGGAAAAGATGGGCGAGAACAGCATTCAATTAAAATATCAGTTATACCATCGACTGTTGACTCATGAAATACAAAGATCACTCTCAACATCTGAGAACATGTTGGGTGGATGGGACCTGAGGGAAGGAAGAAATGGTCCTTTCCACTCAGGGAAGAAATATCCACGCTTCTTATCACCAGTTACCAAGTTATATTGTCACTTACTGCTAGGTTGAGTCTACATGGTTGATTGGATAATAAAAGTTTGATAAGCTAATAATTAAAAACTTTTAAATCCTCCTTCGAATTCTGATATTTCCCATTTTGGTTATTTAACTTTATTTAGCTAGATTCTCATTAAACCTATTTATACAATGCTAATTTTTTAACCCCTACTTAGAGCAAATATGGAAAGAATGGTCCTGAATTACACCCCTCTGAGTCTCAGTGTCTTTATCTGCAAAAAGAGGAAGTTGAACTAGATGAATTAGAAAGTTTCTTCTTGTGGTTCTAAATTCTAATATTTCATAAATAAATCTAATTTGGATTTCAATTTGATCATTGATCAAATGAGAGATGCTGCTTGGATGTTACGAAAAAGTGAAAATATAGAGAGTTTATTATTAGATTTAAACACAACCAAGGAGCCTTCATACCATTTGCTTTTAAAAGGAATCTGAGTATATTCTTTATTAACTTAAAAAATTATCCAAGTGATTTTCAAGGTCCTTAGGGTCTGTAGTGATCACTGAGGCTGGTGCTTGTTGAACCACAAGCAATTCTGAAGTTATACTCACTCTTTTTTATTTTCATTATAGATGGAAAAGAGGTCAAAGATGAAGAGAAAAGTAAAAATGAAAACACAAGGTTTGAAGTAAGATTGTTAAGAGACCCAGCTGGTGTCTCAGAAGCCCACGAGCCCTCTGGTAGGGAGGAAGCTGGAGCCCCAGGGGAGGAGGACACCCAAGGCCCGACAATGGCAGACACAGAGGGAGGTGGGCACAGCCGAGAGGGAGCAGCCGAGCTCCAAGGGAGCCTCTATCCCTCTGACAACCAAGTCTCCAAAGAAGCAAAGACACGCCATTCTGAGAAGAGTGAGGGAGACGACAGGGAGGAAGGAGGAGAGAAATATCAGAAAAGGGAGCATGGAGAAGATGGCAGTAAAGAGCAACACCTTGAAAAGCCAGGGGAAATGCAAAATGCCTTTCTCAACCAAAGAAATCAGCCTACGGCTAAGAAACAAGAGGAGTTAGTGTCCAGATATGACACACACTCTGCCGGGGGCCTTGAGGAGAAGACACACAGCCGAGAGAGGAGTAGCTGGGAGAGTGGGGAGGAGACAAGGAACCAGGAGAAACACCCCCAAGAGTCTAAAAGCCAACCTGGGAGCCAGGAAGAATCTGAGGAAAGTGAGGAAGATGCCAGCCCTGACGTGGACAAACGACGCTTGAGGCCAAGACACCACCATGGGAGGACCAGGCCTGACAGGTCCTCTCAAGAAGGGAATCCTCCCTCTGAGGAAAGGGGACACCCCCGTGAGGAATCTGAGGAGTCAAACATGGGGGTGGCCAGCTTAGGGGAAAAGAGGGACCACCACCCAACCCACTACAGGGCTTCAGAGGAAGAACCTGAGTATGGAGAAGAAGTGAGGAGTTACCCAGCTGTCCAGGCTCCCGAGGACCTGGAGGGGGGACGATATGGGAGCAGAGGAAGTAAGGGATACAGGGCTCCAAGGCCTCCCAGCGAGGAGAGCCAGGAGGAGGAAGACAAGAGAAGTCGCCCCAGCTCAGAGCTTGACAACATGGCACGCGGATATAGCGAAGAAAGTGAGGAACAGGGGGGCCATGAGGAGGGACGCCACCACAGAGCCAGGGGAAGGCAACCAGGTGCCTATTTCACCCCCGACGAAAAAGAGAAACGGTTCTTGGGTGAAGGACACCACCGAGTTCAAGAAAGCCAGATGGACAAGGCAAGGAGGTATCCACAAGGAGAGCTGAGAAATTACCTCAACTATGGTGAGGAGAAGGGGGAGGAGGGTGCCCAAGGGAAGTGGCAGCAGCAGGACCTGCAAGACACTAAAGAGAACAGGGAGGGAGCTAGGT